AGCCCTGGGTTTGATACCTAGTAGTACTGGGGAGAGATGCTTTTATGGGCCACTGTAGAAGTAGAAAAACAGGCCACTTAGGAAAGCTGGGTGGTGCCAAAACTCTATTCCCCAGCCTTGCCCACCAGGACTCACACCCTGCTTCCCTGGGGATTTAGCTTGCTTGTCCTTGGCTCTTCTAACTTGGAGCAATCCTGCTCAGCCTGAGTTGAGTATCGGACTCATTTTCAGGGCTCTAGCATACAGCTAGTGCATGCTTTCATCTCCTCAAATATGCCGCTGTGTGGCCAGGGTCCAGGCTTATTGATTTGGAGGTATAGGACAAGCCTCTTCCCAAATACTTTCCTCACTGAAATCAAGAATCCAATTGTCCTGGGAGGAGGGATTTTCCAGGTAAGCAGGTGAACACAGTTGTCAGGGCCAAAGCATTAGAGGTCAACAAGAAAAAGCCTGGGCCCTCCAGGATGATGGAAAGCAGTGTGGGGATGTTAGCAAAAAATAATTATAGGGGGCTGGAGAGATGGCTCAGTGGTTAAGAGTACTGACTACTCTTGCAGAGGACTCAGGTTTGATTCCCAGCATCCACATGGCGGCTAAGAACCATCCTTAACCCAGTTCCAGGGGATCTGATGCCCTCTTCTGACCTCTGAGGCATTGCACAACACGGGTGCACTCATATACATGTAGGCAATACACTCATCCACATAAAATAATATTAAAAAAATAAATTTAAAAATAATTTAAAAAAATAATTATAGGGCCAGGTGTGGTGAGGCATGCCTTTAATCCCAGCCCTGCAGCAGGGGAGGGGTGGGGGAGGCAGGACAGGCAGATCTGAGTTTGCGATCAGCCTGGCCTACATAAGGAATTTTAGGCTAGCCAGGGATGCATAGTGAGATTCTGTCTACAAAAAAAGAAAAGAAAAAATAATAATAATAGAAATTTCTAGAAGTAGGTGTCAGGGAGTGAAGAAAAGGGAGGGAAAGGAAGAAGAGCATGTGAGTGCACACAGACGGTTTAGGGTTGGTATGAGCATTAGGATTGGGGAGGAGGGAGGCAAAGAATCCAGTTAAGACAAGAGTTCGCTTCTCTCTGAATTTAGTGACTGGGAGAGGAAAAGCTTTCAGCCCAGCGGACTCTGGAGTTCTAGAAGCAAAGGGCAGAATGGCAGCTGCTCCTCCTGCAATGGCCTTGTTCCTGAACTCTGCAGCACCTCAGTGGGCTCAGCAGATGGCTTCGGGGCCTGCTTCGCAGGGAGAATTCAATCAGTCACATCTCTAGGACCCCTTCAACGCTGTCTGGCACTAGTAAATGTTCAATTAACTCAAAACCCTGGCTTTTGTTCTGCATTCTCCCTCTGGTCTGAATTTCCCTGTTTTTATAAACTTGTAGAGAAGTACCTGTTCCCGGCAGTCTCCGGTTCCTTCTGGAACGCAGAGCTAGAAATGCAGGTAAGCCAGGTATTATGGTGTGCACCTTTAGTTCCAGTAGTTGGGAGTTCAAGAGTCCAGATTTAGCTTAGTCCCCATCCTGAAAGTACCCTTTCTCAATAGAGCTCAACTTTAATTTCACACTGGCCCCCAGGAATCCATATCTGGTATACTGCAGGACATCTCTCTGGCCCAATTGCCCACCAAGGAGGCAGCAGAGGTTTCCAACTCTCCTTGAAGTGAACACATAGAGGCCCCAGGAGGCTAAGTCAAGTGTCCCAGGGCACAGCTGGACAGTGGCAGGGGAGCAGCACCCTTAGGATGGGGTTTCAACTTGAGGACTGCCATCGTGGGAGAGCCAGTCACTGCGCCTCTTTCCTGAATGAAAGACCCAGGCTCTAGAACTGTCCCAAACTGTTCTTCTCTCCACTGGAGGGGGAGGCTGTGCCCTGGAGTGGGAAGTGTCAAGGGCCACTGCCAGTGGCCAGCCCGGAACTGGGGACAACACCCACGGATCTAAGTCACAAAGCCAGTTCCACAAGTGCAATGTTCAGTTTAACAGGAACAAAACAAACACAGTAATCATTAAATGCCCAGGGTCCCCTCATACCCACACCCACTGCATTCAGCCTCCCCCCTCAACCCTTAAAACTTAAAAAGGGCCAATTCAAACATGAAGAGTGGGCTCTGGGGTGTAGCTTAGTGGTACAGAGCTTGCTTAGCATGCACGGGGCTCTGGGTTCCATTCCTAACATCAAAAAAAGAGAACTAAGGATGCAGAATTCTCCACCAAGAGCTGACATACGTTGGCTCCCTTGACAAACTGGAAAGGCACATCCAAGGGATGACTCTGGCCAAACAGCATTCTAGATGTTGGAGATACAACCATGAATGAACCAGATACAAATCCTTATGCTTCAGAGATTGGATACCAATGGGAGGGACGAGAACAGCAAAATAATTGGGGAATTACAGAGTGGTAGGAGACCACAGGTGCCTCACTGAAAGAGTACAAATAATGGCCAGAACTTCCTGGTGCACATTCTGTGTCTAATACTTCACATACACCACCTGGTCCCTCATATGCAGATACTGGTAGAGCCCATTTCACAAACTGGTAAACACCTGAGTTAAATAAGTTGCACAGCCTTATGGAAGAACAACAGGAAGCCTGGTTTCCCCTTGGTCTTGAACTGGCAGCCAGAGGAGATGTCCTAATCATTGTACAGCCCTCTGTAGTCCCCACCATTAGAAGACATGACAGGGACCCTCCAAGATTTCTTATTCCCCCAAAAGCTAAGGCTTCAGGGCCAATAGCCCAAAGCATAACCCCAGCTTTACCTATACACAGGGCAAAGTGCTTCCACTGGTCAGGTCTTCCTCCCTGTGGTTTAAAAGAATCTCACCCCATCTGAGGTGACAAGGGGATGGATGTCAAGTTTGTTTGTATAGCGGTGGATGTTCCTTGCACACTAGCTCTTAGGATCCAGCCACGTGACTCCCCACTTCTCCTGGAATGCTAACAGCTGTGCCTTGTACCAGCCAGCTCACAACAATGGAGCAAGTGGTAGAGGGCTGAGCATGGTGCAATACTCAGCAAACTGATGAGCGGACCCAGAAGAGTGGAAGGTGTGTGGAATGATGGAACCTTCCTTCACATTGAGTCCTGGAGCACTGTTGTGTCACAATCTGAAAGAGGACAGATTTGCTGGATGCACAGCTCACCCTCCACAGGGCAACCGTGCAGTGGTGAATCCATCCTTACTGCTGTCCAATGAACCCAAGCAATTGAGGGACTTAGACCCACATTTCATGGGGACTCTGTGGCACCTGGGCACTCAGGTCCTGCAGCATGCCCTTGGAGACCACAGGACAGGAGCCTCTCAGAGTTGAGGTGTGCTCTTTAAATATTAATGTCTTAAACTGGCTAGTGACAGGTAGCCCCTGCCAAGACCAAAGGCAGGAGCTGGCTGGCACCATCTATTTTCATTTTACCTTACCTGATCCCTAACATCCAAGCTTGCCCTGTCCTTGAAGGAAAGGATGGACGGTGAAATGATTATGTGATCAGAGTGGTGATTTCTCCAACAAACTCAAAATCACTAGAACTTATAGAATCATGTAAAGGAGAGGGTCAAGAACCTTTACTGTCAGCCCCAGGAGAGGAGGTTTGAGGGCCTTGGGGAAGATGTGCCCACTGCAGCTCATATCAGGACTGCCCCTGAACTCTTATCACGGAGGCTCTACAGTCAAAGCTGCCCTTGCATCTGCATGCATTGTCTCAGGGCCCAGGTGCCAACCTCAAGGCTGCCTCAAAGGAGCAGGAAGCTGGCAGACATTTGCCAGATGGTACCAGTGTTCAGGACAGGCTAGAAAAACATGTCAACTGGTCAAGGGGTCTGAGGCTGATGCCCTCTCTAGGCTAGAACCCAGCACAGCTTGCCCTTGTACCATGAGATGACAGCAACCTTAGGCACTTTCTAGGCTGGCTGTCACTTTGCCCTGCCTTCACACCAGTAAGAAGGGACAACGCAACACTGTGACAGGTGGCAGAATCCCAGTCTGGCTGTGGAGAACACTCAAAGAGGGCCCCTCATCCACCAATGCCCTACTTCTGTGTTGCTGGCTATGCGACTGGGCTGTGGATGCCACCTGGAAGGATAGGACCTATTTTTGGCTCCAATTTGCAAGAGGTGAAACAGATTCTGAAAGCTTACAGACACCTGCTGGGGTGAGGCAGCTGGGAAGTAAGGGGGCAGCAACCTAAGCCTTAGCTTCTAACTTCTAGAATATACCAAATGGCTGGATGGAGGAGCAGAGTCAGGACTCTAAATCTAGGTCTTCCAAAGCACCTCTCTACTTTCCTAGCCTCGGGCCCAGGACATCCACTGAGCTTCCTATCTCAAAATGTGTCTGATGGGGAACCCCTTCCAGGCAGGCTTCTAGAAAGCCTGGCCCTGCACAACAGCATACCAGGAGGAAGCGGACCCTACAAAAGTAACCACTGTGGTGACTGCAGAAAGCCTGGCCCCTCTGCAGAGCTCTTCCCTAGGCTCCCAGCCTGGTCCCCTTCACACACTGTCCTCATACCCAGAGCAAATGGACAAGGCTAGGGGTTAAGCATCTGGTGGGCTGGGGATGCCTCAGGCTCTGAGCACCTAAGCCTCTCCAGCTGCTGCCAAACTGGATAGGGCTACAAGCCCTGTGATCATCCCGCAGTGCAAGGCCAGGCGCCGGGCCCCACCTGTCAGCTGGGGTGGGGTCTATTAAGGATGGCTCCAGAGAGAGCGGGCGGATGGTAGCTAGCTGTTTCCGTCTGGAGTTGGGAGGAAATTTAGCTCCCAGGTTGGGGGAAGGGGGATGCAAGGTGTG